TAATTTTCACTTCATAAATCCATTTAAATGCATGCTGATTTAGAACACAAACCTTGAAAACCATCAGCACACCATTGCATAGCACATTCCAGTTGGAACCGATGGGCTTAGAACTGGGAAGTGCTTCTCTGAAAGAGATTCTGTTATCTCCCTGTCATCTGTAGTAAAAATTGTTTTCAAAGCAATTTTACCTCAGGGTGAATCATACTTTAAAGACAAAATACTTTGTGCTAGCCTCTACTGAAACAGAAACATCATCTTGGAAATAATGCATTTTCTCACAAATGAAACTATCTGTTTCAAAAGAATTTTCATTGCATACAACTTAAACATTGTTATTCAGTCAGTACCACTGAGTGTGATGCCTACCTCTGTCCTGGCCTGCTGCACAACTATAGGCCTGTGCCTCAGTTTCTTTCTCAAAAAAAACATATACATATTTTTAGTCTTCAAGGGTTTTTCAGTTATTTTGCAGCTCCATTTGAGAATAGATGGAAGATTTGTATCATCTGGATTCACAAAAGACATAATTTGCTCTTGCCACATCTGAGAAATACAGCTTTATGGGATACATTTGCACACCCTGGGTTTTTTTTTAACCATCATTGTTCCCCCCTGCTTTTCAGTCAAAAAAAAAAAAAAAAGAGGATCTGCCCATACAATTTCTTAGAGCTTACAGTCTTAATGGTTGTCCCTGAAGATAGTAAAATATCATAGTGGACTTCTAGCATTTTCATCAAAGCCATGTCCCAAAGCGACTTACACAGTTCAACAACTAGCAGAAACAGAAAGCATAGTATTACTTTCAGGATGAGAGAGAAGAGGCATTTATCTTTAAGTGACCTTCAAAGTAGAGCCAGTAAAGCGGTGAAAAGTAAAACAGGAATTTTATGTTGGAGGAACTGTAGAAAACTTTTTTACATCAAAAAAAATGGTGAGATTGTAGCCAGTGATAGAGAATTGTGTTGAATGACTGAAAACAGGAACAGTGAACAAGAAAGAGAAGGGTGTAGACTGGAGCAGGTTCAAAGAAGTTTAGAGTAATTAGGGAAACTTCAAACTAGATTATGAATTAAACGGGCTTTATGGAAGATATAACTATGTGAGATGCATACCAGGACCAATTACTCTAATATATTTGCTAATTTTTTTTTTTGACTGTGTAACCAATTTAAAGCTAACAAAATTTGTTCCCATTTACACAATGACTACATTTGATACCAAAAAGTAATTACTTAGTGGCTTCTTCTATAATATTTTAATTCTAAAAAAACACAAACAAACAAACAAACAAACCCCCACCACCCAGACAGGATTTCCCACAACTTTAACTGCTGGGAGTTCTATGCCATTTTACCCCACTATTGTCTGAGATGCCTACCAGAAATACAGTAGCCATTTGGGAAATGTATTGCAAGATGTTCTGAAAATACAAAACAATATGATCTGATTATTGGCCTCTAGATTGCAGAGCTGCCAGGTACAAGTGTACAATCTAAGATTTACTGTTACAGTAATGTTGTCAATGCCGGTGATACTTATAAATGCATTTGGGGGTACTGACATCTTCCACTGGAGCAGCTGTGTGGAGAATTGGAAATCATCAACAATTAACTCCAAACTGCATGATTTTGCAGCTATGAAGGATGACAAAAAGGCTCCAAATTATAAGTACTGGAGAGTAAAAAAAAAAATATGATTTTGGGGGGGGTGTGTGTGTACTGATTTGCACACTAGCCCTCTGAGCCTTTAATTTCAAGAGCTAGTGTTTTTCAGGTTGGGCTTTTAAAGTCAGGTCCCGACTGATTGGAAATTGGCCAGTGTGATGCCCATCTATAAGAAGGGTCGGAAAGATGATCCGGGAAATTACAGGCCTGTCAGCTTGACTTCGGTGCCCGGGAAGGTGATGGAGCAGCTCATCCTAAACACCATCATGGAACACATGGGGGACAACCAGATGCTCAGGCCCAGTCAGCATGGGTTTGTGAAAGGCAGGTCCTGCTGACAAACCTGATTTCTTTCCCGTGACAGAGCGACCTGCTTATTGGATGAGGGAAAGGCTGTGGATGTAATTTACCTTGACTTTAGCAAGGCTTTTGACACCATTTCCCACAGCATTCTCCTGGCAAAAATGACTGCTTGAGGTTTGGACAATCGCACATTTCGCTGGGTAAAAAACTGGTTGGATGACCGGGCCCAGAGAGTTGTGGTGATGGGAGTTAAATCCTGTGGGCAGCCGGTCACGAGTGGTGTCCCCCAGGGCTGGGTTTTGGGGCCACTCCTGTTTAACATCTTTATTGATGATCCAGACGAGGGGATCGAGGGCACCCTCAGTCAGTTTGCAGATGACACCCAGTTGGGTGGGAGTGTTGATGTGCTCGAGGGT